CCCTTTCACAGGGGTCGCCTGATTCATAACAGTAGCAAAATTACAGTGATGAAGTAGCAACAAAAATAATTTTATGGTTCCACAACATGAGGAACCTGTTTTAAAGGGTCGAGGCATGAGGAAGGTTGAGAACCACTGTTTTAAGCGGTTGTTTCCCACCTCAAGACATCACACCACCCTGATAGGTGGTCAGCACTGCAAAAGCAGGCCTGAGCAGGAGTCCCATGCTGTCCTGGCCACCCGTTCTCCCCCTCATGTTGCTGCCAGAATTCAAGGCTCCTGCCCATGACTCAATGACAGCAAGTTTGCCCACAAGTTTAGCCAGCCCTGGTGGTGCTGTGGTTACTTGTGTTCAGCTGTGAACCACGAGGTCAGCAGTTGGAAACCACCAGCTGTTCCTTAAGAGAAAGATGAGGTTTTCTACCCATCAAGAGTTACAGTCTGGGGAACCACAGGGGTGGTTCTGCTGTGTCCTGTTGGGGTGCTATGAGTTGGCATGGACTGGATGGCAGTGAGTGAGTTCCACCTGCTCCACTGGGGTTCCTTGGATCATGACCCCAGAGCCTGGGCCATGTAGGAGGGCCTTGCCGTGGTGGAAGAAAGAAGACCTGTAATTGCTTAGATTTTGAGTAGTTTCACAAGCACCAAACAATTATATTTTAAATTTTGAGTTATTTGCTTCATAGAGTCATTCAAAAGCCCTCTGGGGTTTTTGGCTTGGGGACATTTGGCTAGGATAAGGTGACCAGACGCCCTGCTTTTGGTGGGACAGTCCCGATTTTTAACAATTTTTCCCGTGTCCTGCAGCGTTTTTAAAAAGTCCCAATTTTTGGAAAGAATGCACGACAAGCTAGGGTATACGTTTTTCGGCTGCCATGTGGCTATTTCGCCAGGATATGAGTTTTATCAATGGTGTCCCGCTTTACCAATGTTAAAATCTGGTCACCTTAGGCTAGGAAGGATGATTGTGGTGTTAGGTCTTTGTGTCTCTCCAGGTGTTCTGGATTACAGAAACAACCTAGTCAGCTGCAGTCTCTGAGTCTGAGGGGTCTGCATGCCTTTCAAGAGTATGCAGAATAAGGTCAACGGACTGATTTGCAAGCAGGTGACAACTGTGATGGGCACCTTCCCCGAGATAGAGCATCAGTACATTGGCAAGTCATCTCATTTGGGGCATACCATCACTTAGTAACCAAAACACCAAACTCACTGCCATTGATCTAGTCCATTCTGACTCACAGCAGTTCTGTAGGACAGGGTAGAATTGCACCTGTGCGTTTCTGAGACGGTCACCTTTTAGAGGGTGGGGAGTGTTCTAACCTGGTCTTTCTCCTGCAGAGTGGCTGGTGATTTTCAACAGCTGACCCAGTGCTTACTCTGCTACACCACCAGGGCTCTCGGGACCACTACTTAATATATACCAGCAATTGTCAGAATCCCCATTGTATGTGTTTCAAAGAAAGAAATCCTAAGAGGAGTCTGGTAAAATAATCTATTTTCTTATTACATAGAATTTTTATTTGACATTAAACAACAACAACAACTCCTTTTTTTAGACTTGGCAAATACTGCCTATTGCCCTATTAGATTTCTTTTATGCAGTAGTTGCTGGACATTTGCTAAAAGGAGAATAGAAATGAAGTAAATTAGTTAGCTATTCCTAAGACTTCTGTATATTCAGTCAGACTGTGTGAAATCACTTTATATCCCACCCAATGGAGGAGTATGCCGATGAGGATCTGTGCTGTAATACTCCTTTCTCATTGCTTTTTATGTGGTGAAAATATGTATACCACAGACCACCCCAATCCAAGAGTTTTTATATTTATAGTTTAATGGTGTGGATGACACTCTTATTTTGTGCAGGCCTTATCCTAAAGCTTTCTCCTAAGTATTTGATCATCATTAGCATAAAACTCACTGCCCCCAGCCCCTCCCACCAGGCAGAAACTCCTCCTTTCTCCCCCTTCCCTTCCTATCCCCTGTTGCAGTGTTCTCAACCTGTGGGTCGCAACACCTTTGGGGATCGAACGACCCTTTCACAGGGGTTGCCCGATTCATAACTAGCAAAATTTAGGTTATGAGTTAGCAACAAAAATAATTTTATGGTTGGTGGGGGCTCACCACAACATGGGGAACTGTATTAAAGGGTCAAGGCATGAGGAAGGTTGAGAACCACTGCCCTTTTGTGATTGGTAGGTGCTTGTGGGTCAGTGCTAGCAGGTCCGTTCTGAGTCATAGTGGCCCTGCATACAACTGGATGAGGCACGGCCTGGTCCTGCACCATCCTCACAACTGTTCACATGTTTCAGCTTTTTGCAGCTGCTGGGTTACCTCATCTCGTCGAGGCTCATCCTGTTTCTCATGGACCGTATGCTGTACTGAGCACGATGGCTGTCTCCAGGGACTGGTCCCTTGACTAGCATTTCTAAGAACACCTCACAGGGACACACAGCTCTGCCTGTGAGATGGAGTCATGTTCCATTGACATTCGCTTCTCTGTGTGTGCTTTTTTTTTTTTATGTGAGGTTAAATACACTATTTGACCTTTTGTGACAGACTTACTTCATTCAGCATTCGTCAGTGTTGTTATGGTATTATCCCTCAGGACTTCATTTCTCTCTAGAGCTGAGTAGTAGTTATACTTGGTGGGGCTTCGAAAAGTTTGTGGAAAAATTTCCTTTAATTTCATTTTCCCACTAACTTGTAAATATGGTCCACTTATATGTATATACCACATTCCGTTTATCCTCCTCTGTTGATGGGCATTTGGATGGTTTCTGCCTTCTGACTACTGTGAAGAGGGCTGCAGTGAACACTCGTGTACAGGTTTCTATTGTAACATTTCCTAAGACAGTGCTCCCGATTCTTTCATTTATCTGTCTTAGTAAATCATCTTATAACAATCCATACAGCAGTTGTATCAAGCACATTTGTACATATGTTGCCGTCATCATTTTCAAAAC